TATTCAGATCTTGATCAAATTTATATGGGAATACATGAGAAGCCCAGTTTCAAATAAAAAAAAATCATCAAAATCGGTTCACCTAGTAAAAAGTTCTAAGGTAGCACATTTAAAAAATACAGTCGAAATGAGTACCTTTTCCTTTTAAGTTGGTTAAAAATAAAATTTAACTGCAGGTGCCAACTCGCCTATTAAACGTGGCAATTATGGCAAATGATAATGTCGTTCAGATCGAATTTTGGTTACGGCGACCAGTCTCAACGGAGCCAAGCCATCTACGCAGGGCAGGATTATAGTACTGAAGTGTAAGCTCAAGCACAGGTGCACTTTCTATTCCATCACTCTCATAGTACGATCGGACGGCAATGCGATACGACCGGAGAGAGGTCGGGCGCAGCACCTACTGCTTTTCGTAGGCACGAGGCTGAAACACCACCAACTTTTTTTTTAATATAGAGTAAGGGTGACAAACGAGCATACAGTCCATCCGAAGAGAAGTGGATGCTGTGGCCCATAAACATCTACATCTATCCTCGATTAAAAATTAAAATACAGATGCGTTGCCACCCCTGAGGCCTGAGATGGAATGCCTCGTTTCGAGTAAAAAGGGTCGCCACACCTACACAGCAGCACTGACCTGCTATTTTACGCTGGCATTCTGTGAGTCTGTGGGGAAGGCTTACGCTCAGCGTTGGACTTTGAAGTGACGGCAGTATGTATATGGGGCGGGCGTGTAGGAGTGCTCGGTGCCCGTGCGGCGAGCAGGTGTGGGGGTGCGCGGTGTCGGGGCGCGCGCTGAGCGGGGCGGGCGGGGCTGGCGCGGCGGGCGCGGCCTGGGCGTGCGCCGTGTGCTCTGCGCGCGCGCTGCGCCACGAGCTCGTGCTGCGACACTCCTGCCCCATGTGCCACGCGCCCCTCACTTGAACAACTTAACCTGCAAACACTTCTATGTATACTACTAGACCGACGATTCCGAACAAAAAATGTGTCCCAGCTGTGAATCGCGCGAGAGTAGCTGGCACAATAAATATATCACGCAGTTGTATTTTCATTTACGATAGTTACTCTTTTTAGGCAAATACGAAATAACGTTACAAACAAATTAACTTCAAATCACGTTGTAAACACTTTCAACATAAAAAATGACAGCGGTCTCTTTGCCACATTAAACAAAATCAGTGTTAGATTGTCGAAAACAACGTTCGCGTTTTACAAAACAAACAACTAGTCTTTACACCCGCTCGCAGTCGACTAAAGAAGCTACTGAGAATTGACCGTAACTTAGTGCGCAATTTATTAGTACCGTAGTGCACGTCTAGTGGTATACATAGTCTTGCAAGCTGACGTATGTTAAGCGATATCTCCTCTGTTATTTCAATAAAATTAATTTTACTGATTTTATCACGTTTAATTTTAAAATGTTTGTAATTCCCGATGTTTCGAGTGCTTTACAGTAACAACGGTACGGGAGCTGGCCCATATCTAAAAGTAACCATAATACAATATACGAGGGGCACACTGAAATGATCGGAAATAAGAAAAACCACATGCACGGTATAGCTAAATTGTATTTTATTGTTTTTTAAAGTATTCTCCGTTCACCTTAATGCACTTTTCCATTCGTGCAAACCAATTATTAAAACAGTAATTCCAGTCTGAAGTTGATGTTGACAAAATGGCTGATTTGTACGCTTCCACAGCTGCTTCGGGGTATTCAAACCGACCGCGTAATAAATCTTTCATTCTAGGGAATGTAAAGAAATCGTTTGGGCTCAGGTTAGGACTGTACAGAGGATGACTCATCAGCTCAACGTTTTCCTGCTTCAAAAAATCATTTGTCGTCCGAGCCGTATGGGAGCTCGCATTATCGTGATGTAAGATGATGCGACGTTTCGGGTTATTTTTTCGGAGTTCGGCTATCATTTCTGGTAAACAAACCGTGATATACCACTTAGCGGTAACCGTTCTGCGTCCCTGTAAAGGAATTGTAGCAACATGCCCCTTTTTCGAGACAAACGTAGCGACCATTTTCTTTGACACGCTGCGGGAGCGAACCACTTTCGTTGGTTTAACCTCGTCTTCGAAGACCCAAACTGCTGACTGATGTTTTCTTTCTGGTTCATATGAATAAATCCATGATTCGTCACCTGAGACGATATTATAAACGGCATTTGACTTCCCTCCGTTGAAGCGTTGCAGAGTATTCCGGCACCAATCTACACAAGCCGCCTTTTGCTCTCCGGGCAAATTGTGGGGAACCCAGCGAGAAACTAGCTTTCTTACACACAGCTCATTATGTAATATCGACTGAATTGCAGTCATTCCGATACTGATAACAGCCCGAATCTGCTCGTATGTCACATGACGGTCATCTAATATAATAGTTCGCACATCTGCGAAGTTTTCAGGCGTGACCGCTGTTCTTGGTCGACCTGCAGAAGAAACAGTGCTGAGCGACACACGACCTCGTCGGAACTCGGTATACCAGCGGTATATTGTTGTTTGACTCGGTGCTTTAACATCATAAATCGAAACAAGTGCGCTGAGACATTTATCTTGAAATAAGCCGCGACGAAAATTGTGATAAATTATGGCCCGAAAATGTTCATGCGTGAGCTCTATTTCTATTAAGGACGTGTCAACTTTGAACCAACATAGTTTTTGTTTTTAAACATATTTTTTTATAGGATAAGGGTGACAAACGAGCACACAGTCCAGCTGATGGTAAGTGGTTGCTGCGGCCCATAGACATCTACATCTATCTTCTATTACAAATCAAAATGTAGATGCGTTGTCACCCGTGAGGACTAAGATGGAATGCCTCATTTCCAGTAAAAAGGGCCTCCGGCCACCTGCACTCACCAAGCGAAACGCAGAGGTAAACCTCTACTTCACGCTGGTTTTCTGTGAGGTCGTGTTACCACCCGGGTTCGAGCCAGCCCATCCGTGCGACAGACAGCAAAAGCTGCCGCGTGGCTCTACCACTGTTACATTTTTTTAATTGTTTGAATGTCATTAAGATTCTAAGAGGCCGGTATTCAAATTCTAAAAAAGGTTTTATTGTAACTCAATCCGAAGTATTCCATTCCCGACCATTTCAGTGTGCTCCTCGTAAAAATTTTAACTATGAAACAGATTTAATTTTTCATCTAATAAGTACATTGACGACACCGTTCCAACAATAACTCCAACTTAATTTTTTATATAATTACCCTTCTTTAATTAAAGTTCTACTACTTTTACGTGATAGTCAATGAGCCAAAGCCGAAGGCGTTCAATAAAGTTCTATCGTACTTAATTTTTGGCTCGAGAGAGGTAACATTTTCAAATAGTAAAAATAAAGTCAAAATTAACGTCCTGTGCCTGCAGTCTCGACATAGATAACAACGCAATTGCTAACTGCCGATTGTTAAATAATAACGTAAAAAAATGTTTGCCGTAACGATGCTTACGATAAATGCAAGTCTCGACAGCCGAGATACCGAACAAAATTCTGACATATCTTCACTTTATGATGTTGTTACGCTAACAAAAAACGTATTCATAGTGCAGTGTTTTCTTAAAAAAATATTGGCTGTTAAAAAATCTCCTTGAATCACAGGGAAAATTGGTAGACATAATTTTATAAAAATAATTGCTTTTCTTTGAAAATTGTACAGAAACAGTAGGAACCTTATGTTATAAAAATATTTTTTATAGTAACTTACAAGCAAATTTTACCGTTTCTAAGAATTGAAGTAATTTGTTAAATATCAAAGGACCTAAAAGTTTGCCTCCTTGCAACACTGATGTTAATGTCAATCCAAAAAAAAAACAAAACGGTCAGTTTTGATTTGACAACGTACCTAACGTATTTACTATTATAATAAAACAAAATATTTATATATTCCGATTTTTATCAAAGTTTATGATATATATATTATGGCTTCGATGATGGGGGACACTGACGCAGGCGCAAGCCCGGTTTCGAGATGCGTTAAGTAAGTACAACTCGAATCGAATCTATCGTTGTTTATTGAATGGTTTGTTTAGAGACTGTAATTTTTGCATTTTTAATATTTACTTCTATGTATGTTTCAGACGTAAGCGTACATCACGCGCTACGAGTGGGCAGCTTGAGGCACTGTTGGCCATGTTAGAAGCTCGGCCATATTTATATACCAAAAAATTTAGTGGCCTGCGGGGCAGAGAAAACTATCAAACGGGCTGGAGGGAAGTTGCCGATGAGCTAAACCAACTTCCCAACGGAGCCGTCAAGACGCCTGAGCAGTGGATAACAGTTAAGTTTCTATCAAAGAATTTTCCAGATTTACTACTAATGGCTTATACATAAATCAGCCAGCACATTATGTAACTAATATTTACTTAAAATACATAATTATTTATTTTGTAGGTATGGAGAGACTTGAAATGCCGGGCCTGCACTAAAGCCGCAAAATTAAAACGAGAAAGGTTGCAGACCGGCAACCAAGGCATCACCACTGCTCCACTGACAGAGATGGAAAAAAAGATTGTGTCTCTTATAGGTCTTGAGTACACATTTGGCAGTGACTGCCCCGACTCAATGCCAGAGGAAGAAGTGAGTTCAGTAGTGGCTTAATAATTACTTATATACAATTTCATATACTTAATCAAACTTCGTAATCTTAGTTTTTGGTTTTAATGCAATTTACAATAATAAATACTTTTACTAATTATTATAGACATTACAACATGAGATGGAGGCTGGGATGGATATGGTGGAAGTTATTTCTTTGTCTCAATGTAAGTTTCTAAGAGAAGTATATTCAAAATATAATGTAAATTCTGTTGCACTTTAAATGTACTTACCTGCAATGTATTAAAACACAAATTTTAATTACAGGTAATGAATACAAGTTGCTTGAGACAGAGAAAGATCAAGCATTGCCAGCACCACAAATTAGTACGTTTATGTTATTTTTATTACACCTTTATTCATACCTCTCTAGATGATTATATTTCACTAATATATTTTATATTTGATTATTTTAGTAGCAAGTGGCAGCAGAGCTACAGCTGTTGCTTCACCCACTAACCAACAGGACCAAGAGGTAACTTTGCAGTCAGCAGCACCACAAATAAGTAAGTTTGAGCTTTGTTATTCATATAATTCCTATTTACATACATTATCTATTTGTGTTCCGCTGTTTTATCCACTATTTCAAGACAAAATGGTCTGTGTGCCAATTTTCATATAAATCTTCTGCTGTTTTAGTGTGATTAATAAATAAACAAAAATCTTTGCAAATATTGACAACGTACGTCAAAAACGTAATTGTACGCTGGTATTCTCACAGAATACCAGCGCAAAATAGCAGCTTAACACTGCTGTGTTTCGTATGATGAGTGTAGAGAAACCAGAGACCCTTTTTACTGGAAACGAGGCATTCCATCTTAGTCCTCACGGGTGGCAATACATCTCCATTTTGATTTAGATGTCTATGGGCCACAGCAATCATTTACCATCAGGTGGACTGTGTGCTCGTTTGTCACCCTTATCCTATAAAAAAAATCACATTTATACTATTGGTAAGATTGTGATCATTTCATGTGTATTTCATTATTTCAGCAGTGAGTGGCAGCAGAGCAGCAGCTGTTATTACCTCACCACCTACTGTTCAACGAGAGAGGCCCAGAAGGATAAGGAGTAAGCTTGATTTTTAATTAAGTGTTAATAATATAAACATTAGTTCACAAGATGATCAGCTTGAGCAGAATAAAGCTAAAAGTGATTTTAATTACAATAAAATAAATTTTGGGTATTTTTAGATCTGAATCCTCGCCACTCTGTTGCTGAGCAAGCAAATATGGCACGTCAGGAGTTTTTGGCAGTTGCAGAATCAAATGCAGAAGCAATTAGGGTATGTTATAATATTACATCTATATTCTAAGCTAAACAGAAGAAAAAACCAACAATATATATTTTTATGTGGTAGAGCCATTCTGCAGCTGTATTAGTAGTATAGTTGTAGCATGAATAAATAGGTCGGCTTGACTGAGGAAGGACCACGCTCGCACGGAATACCAATGTAAAATAGCAGCTTAACACTGCTTTGTTTTGTATTGTGAGTGTAGAGAACCGGATACTCTTTTTACTGAATTAGTTGGTCAATATGTTGTTATAATCTATATACAAATAAATGTGTTTATCTGTATTATTGTTGTTTAATAACTGCCTTATATTAATATTACTATACTGAGCTTAAGCTCAGTGGGTTATTAGCACACTATTAAAACATGAATAACTACTTTTTACATATTTTTTTATTACAGATGCTGGCAGTTGCAACTGAAGTGCAAGCAGCGGCTGCCAAAATGCAAGCAGAGGCGGCAAAAGTGCAGGCAGAGGCGTCTCTTTCGTTAGCACAGGCTGCCAATAAAATAGCAGATGCCTTTATATTATATATAAATAAAAATAATAAATAAAATAAGATGTTTAATGTTTTATTTCACTTCACATAATAGAATAGAATAATTTTTATTCAATATAAATTTTTTAGTAATGTTTTTACTTTTACCACTGGTTCGAAAAAAAAACCTCTGTCCTGGGAAGAACCAGCAAGAAACCCAGCGGGACTTTTTTTTTATAAAATCAATTTACAGTATATTACTTTGTACAATTAATATGAAACATTTACTATACACATCATTACTATGATAACATTATAACTAATATAACATAATACTAGATAATTAAGTAAAATTAGTATTTATGAGTCTTCTTTGTATTTGCTCTGCAATAGCTCGCCCAGTGCCAGTTACTCTTCCTGTAATAAAAACACAATTTTAAGATTATTCAAACATAGCATAATACTACAGATAATTAAGTAAAGGTATTATTTATTAATCTTCTTTGTATTCGCTCTGCAATAGCTCGCCCAGTGCCAGTTACTCGTCCTGTAATAGAAACATGCAATTTTAAGATTAACAAAGGTAATATTAGATTAAGACAACAAAGTCTAATCTAATATTACATAAACAACATTATTACCTGTATCTTCCAAGCCATCATCATTATAGCTATCAACAATGATTTCTGTGGATGTGGTGACATATGGTTCCAGCAATCTATATTTAATACGCATGTTGTGTAGTACTGCACATGCATTTACTATTAGGCCAGCAGTGTATGGCTCATACATTAACTGGCGTTGATGAGACAGACACCTAAAAACAGACTTTAGCACACCAAAGCATCTTTCTATGATGTTTCTGGCTGAACCATGAGCATCTGTGTATCTACGCTCCGGCATCCCAAGGTGTTGATTTTTTATTGGGGTCATCAACCATGGCTCCAGAGGATATCCATCATCACCTAAAAGTTTAAACATCGAAATTACATTCGGCAGTCTTACAGACATTCCATTCTAGTAAAATTGGTCTTTAACTTACCAAGTAACCATGTACGGCGATCCCCATTGTCAAAATGTCGCTTCATGGTTGAGCGTACAGGTGAATTTGCCCATATGTGAGCATCGTGTCTGGCTCCTGGCCATTTAGCATTGATGTTCAAAATTAACAGGTCTGGGTCACACACCTAAAATAATTTAAAATATACTTTTAATTAGGGGTGTACCTATTTGTGCTAATAAATAAGTAAATAGATTTATTTATTATTGATGATGATGATGTTCCAGAGTGTAACTAGGTGCAATAAAATTACAATTTAAGCCCTTAAGACTAATTAGTATAATTTAAACTTTTTCACCTAAACTGCTGAGTAAAATGTATCTAATAAGACTATTTTTACTATCAATAATAAGGGGAAGATACTTTGTTCATGTTTTCAAAGCAAGTTATGCAGTCTATAAATAGCCTTAAAACCTGTTGATCCCAAATTGTTCTCACTTAGACTTTGATATTAGATTACTCATAAACATGATAATTGCTAGTAGCCATAATTTTACAATAACATGTTTGACTGTGAACTGTGCTGATTAAGCTTTTGATATTGGATTACTGAAAACATGTTATGAAGTATAACATTACAGAAGACACTGACTCCACTATAATTAATTGTTATTGCTGGTTAAACCAAGGTGTCATATTTTCAGTCAACAGACTTGTTTTAACCATCCTATAAAAGCCCTTGGATTTAGAATAAGATTTATTATAATTACAATTCTCATAGTAATGTTATCACTTAGTTAAGGAAATCAGTTTTGCACTGAAATATATAGCTATTATGTTACAATAATACATTATTGTGGTGTAAATTTCATGGAGACATATTTAGTTGTTTTAAAAAGCTTCAGCACCGCTCCTGAAACTTAACTAGCAAATAAATAGGTAAACAATAACTACTGAAGATTAAACTTACAACTTGTACATTTAATGAATGTCCCTCATGGTGACCGCTCACATATGCCTCTTCATGCAACTTTGGAGCTAGAATTTTTATGTGTGTGCATCCGGAAATGGCTGTGGGGCATTCCTAAATTTTGCTTTAGCTGCTCGCCGCCCTTCAGGGGTCATAGGGAATTTTATATATTTTCTCAATAATTTTTCATTAATAGCTTCGGTTACAGCATGTACTACTCGGCTAACCGATTTTTGGCTCATGCTGCAACCCCACTGTAAGCCAACAGGTAGCTGATAGCACCCACTTGCATAAAATCGAAGTGCCGTCAGTAGCTATTTAGAAGAAAATGAAACTAAGAGTTAATACAAACGAAAAAGAGTTAGTTTTTAAAGGTATATAGGCATTTACATGATGACACTCACTTGGGACTCTACAGAAAGTCCGTACGGCCGTTGTTTTTGAAGAGATTGCCTAAGTGCACCTACGAGCTCGCTAAACATATCTTTTGTAACTCTGTAAAGGTACAAGAATTCACTATCCTCTAAATCCAAAGGATTTTCACTTTCGCGCCGGTTTCGTGCGATTTGCCGCCGCATAACCATAACACGCCTGTGTTCTAGCACTGATAAATCCCATGCTAGATATGATTCCGCCATTATTACTTAATACTTTTATAATTATATATTATAATAGAATATAGATTTTAAATCGATAAAACTCCAAAACAAATTTTTAAAGAGGCTTATGATCGTAACGTACACTTATCGGGCTCTCAAAAATGGTTGATAAAATATTTGCTAACATATCAATAGATTGTAAAGTTTTCAATAGTGTTGTTACGGTAACGTTATTAAATTGATAACTTTGACAGTAGAGACTACCAAATATTGTTATATTAGGATTGTTATGACTTAACAACCGATATTGGTTGTTAGGCGATCGCTATCTATGTCGAGACTGCAGGCACTGAACATACTCATTTTTCATTGCTTTCATTCAGAAAAATAAGCTTTAAGAAATTTTTGATAATCGTTACTTCGCAGTTTCTGTTGTAACTTTTCTTTGACATGCAGCTGCATGTCAAAGAAAAGTTACAACTGCATGCAAGCTGCATGCAAGCTTTCCTCTCGAAGTTTTCCTTTACCACAGAGATGTTAGTTATTCAGTATACCTTGAGACTGGCTGCCGCGCCGCTGTGACTGAAATATGGTCTAGAAGCTATTATTATTACCTCAAAGAAAAATCTAACCAAGAGAATAAAGACTCATTACCAAAGTAAATTAAAGGCCATGTTTTAGTTTACTTTAAATGCTTGTTAGCGAACTTTGAATTCTTTCTTTTCATTACTCAATCATGCAGGTACATACTTCACGATGTTTTATTTCGCCGAGCATGCGATAAATCAATTACATTATTACATTACAATTAAAATTATAATTTACAATTTTAGTGACCTTCTCAAGTACCGCAGCACAAACTAATAATTATAACAAATAACAATGTAACTAATTTTAGATTTGTTTTAAAATATATATTATGGCGTGTCGGCATAAGAGAATCTTATCCTAAGAATACCCCATATCTAGTGTATACGTGTTGGTGAAAATATGAATAGAATAAGCCCAGTCCTATTCTTATCCTGCGCGATTAGTACTTTACCGAAATTGTTCTAACTGTAGATTTTATTTTCTATGTAACCAGAGGTAAGATATTATGTCACGTAAATTATCATATGTATTAGTATAATAAGTCTAGATTTCATAATATTATAAGTTTAGTCATAGCAATGTCATTAGTAATAAATCGTGCCGTCCATTATCTAAATATCGATGTATTATTTTATTTATATTGAGTAAAATAGTTTAGCGCAAAATATGGTGTATTTATTTAGAAAATATTTCTTTTACTCCTCTTTTGTTATAAGTCCTCTATTGGATATAGACCTTTCCAAGAATGCGCCAGCGTTACGTAGTAGATTTGGCTATTCGGCTCTGCCCAGGGCCCATCCCGAAACCCTAGCATCTTAGCACCAGAGATACTGCTCCCCGTCACTAGCCTGTGAGATATGGGTCGTCGGTATTTTTGAATGTATTATCTGCCATCAATCATTCGTCATAGCCTCGTCTGTCAAACACATGGTCCACGACCTGCAGGTGAGGTGAAATTATTTAAAGAGAACTTGGTATATTCTGCACTCACATCCTTAGTTACACTGCAAACTTATTGTTGTCACCTTCGTCTCTGATGCTGCATCAGTCTCCCTGTAATCTTAATGTTACATTATATATAACTACTAGCTTTTTACCCGCGGCTTCGCTCGCGTGGTCTTCTTTTTTACAAACATCATTAAATGTATTCCACGCCAAATTTAGTAAAGTTCGATCACCTTTAGAGTCAAGTCGGTGTCTGTGTATCTATGTCAGTTTTTCAAAGAATTTTTTGAATTCCCAAAGACTATTGGACCTAGATGATTGAGGGACACGTGCAGAAATAAGTTTTTCAGAATTGCATTAATATCATATGTCTAGAAATATCTACAATTTTTCTTGTATTGAACCTGTCTTCCGATTTATCTATCCATAAGTAAGATAAATAGTTTTGGAATCCAAATTTATTATTATTATTTACTCTTTACATTCATTCATGATTTATTTTTATGAAAATAATGATGAATTCATGGTCTTATATGCGATATTTGATTCATATCGTTGTTTCCATTTAATATTGATTGGCACCATAAAATAGATTCTGATTTTTTTTTCTACGTTCGAGTAGACTTCAACATTTCATAAATACAGTTCTGATAATGCTGAATACTACACGTATGATAAAACAAATTGTAATATTGCCGTCGGAAATTTACCTTTGCCTTTGACAAGTAAAATAAAAGAAATCTTTGTTTAAGTAAAATCTGCTATCTTCGATATTTAAAGGTATTTTTTCGCAACAACCAATTCATTTCCATATCTAATGTGAGCTATGAAACCACTACTGTCACAAAAATCTTGATTTGTCTGATAATATGAAAACTTAAAAATACAAAAATCCAACAAACTGATTTATAAGTCTCATTAAAGGTATAAAAACTAAAGTAGCGGCTTACATACGTCTCACTACTGTGAACACGGCTCCCCATTACCTATAGTGTTTGTAAGCAGAAAAGAGTATGCCGCAATCCTTCAACTACTACTCCGACATTTAGGTTTGCCCACAAAGTTATTCTTAACCACTTCACTGGGTATGTGGTAAGTCAGCACGTAAAATTTTCCATAACAGATTCATTTGTCCTCAAAGGACTCATACACGTTTTGCTCCCTTGCCGTGATGAAATCTCAACGGCGAGCTACATGGCTCTCGTATTTAACTAAAATTCATAAAAATTGAAACAAAACTTTTGTACCATTGTTGACCATATCTACCGAGTAATTAGAAACCCAATGATGCCACGAACTATTCCATCAAAAAGAGATAAAATCACACAGTGCACATAATTTCCAATTATTTACATCAGATAACGTGATAACATATGAAGTAGGTAAAATGAAACCTATGCCTACAGACAAACAATATATTGAACTAAAGAGCTTCTCTCCTAATCTCAGTTTTGTGTACAACAGTTATGTTAGCCATTTTGCCAAACGTGGTTATTGTGATAAATAATCCCGATAATGACCACCGGTCTACATATTTTTAAGTGTGACAATTTTTGATGCTGCACGAATAAGTATTCGGTAGCATTCTAAAATTTAATTTTATCAGTTACTTATCATTAGTTTATTTAGACAAAGTAGAGGGCGCTATATTACATTAATACTATGAAAGTCAAAACTATACTATCTAGTAATATCAGCTATAGAAGAAAGAAGGCTCAAGAGCCACCCCAAAGCCGGGAACATTTATTTATTGCATAAAAAAAAGGCATAAAGTGATGTTGATTCTATTAAAAATCTGTTTCCGTTAAAAAACACGCCATCAGCGCCGCTAGCGGTGAAAAACTATTAGACGGTATGAAGATAATATTATTATGAAATAGTAATATTGTGTTTAGTTACTGATATCGTTAAATGATCTCTATTCTTTGTTTGGCTAAGCTATATTATGACATGGTCAACAAACAGTGATAAATATCATGAAATGACACCATTTCACGAAATAATGGTTTAATGAGAATTTTGCAATAATTGCAGGCAGACCAGTTTTAATCAGTTTACATACAGATATAGTATTAAAAGTATGAAAATTGATGTTTTTTTAGTTCAAAATAATATAAATGTTCATACGTTTTTATATAAATTTAAATAAATTAAGCCTTAGGATTTTTAAATAATTTAATTAATGTAATTATTTAAACATATAAATGTAGGTTATTTATATAATTTATTTGTTACTAAAGGCAAAATGTAGGCTTTTCTCATTTGATGATAGATGGCGCTGTTTTGATAATTAAAACGTATGTCGTCAGCGCAGTTTCAAATTGTTATGCAAAGGTTAAAACTAATTTTAAACTTAATTTACAAATATAATATTTCTTTAAAAAAACCCGTCATCCTGCCTATTAACTAAAATAATCATATATAACAAAATTAACATCTAAAGGAAGAAAAATACTTAACCTTCTTTTTTAAGTTTCGTAATCGGATAAAAAGTAGCCTATAAGTTGTTCCGGGGTACTAACTACCTACATATAAAATTTTATGGAAATTGGTCCAGTAGTTTTGGCGTGAATCGGTAATACACAGACAGACAGACAGACAGACAAAAATTCTAAAAACCACTAATTTAGCTTCAGCACACTTTATTTAGTACCCTGGACTTGTTTTTTCAAAAATATGTTACAATTACAGACACGGCTTTTCTACAGATTTATTATATGTATAGATTGTATAACGTATATTTATTTTGGAGAATAAAATTGCGTTTGTCAAATATATTTTTTTAAATCTACTACTGTTTCGTAATGAGGTTCCTCTTACCGGAGAAGAAACTGCGAAACTCCGCAGGTACTTAAATTAAACAACTTACCTTTAACCAAGCGCAATCGGCTAAACCTAGGTGGGAGGTGTATGTATTCGTACTTGGGCTTTTAGCTGTAAGATAGGTGCTAATGGTTACGAACAGCTATGAAAAGTATAATCCATTAAAGCTTTACTGTTTCTATTTAAATATAGCTCCTGCAGAACAAAAGGCAAAATTTTGTATGATATCTAAATGCATTTATTTTGGATAGAAGTGGAAGAATCTGTAGCTACGTAAATTTTTCTACCTGATTGATTTAATCAAGTGTGAGTTTCTGCTGTTTTGTCTCAAAAGATCAACTCTTAAAAAGATTTATATTCAGTTGAAATACAGAGCAACAAGTTTTCAAAAAAATCTCAAACTAGTGTGAATAAGCGATGATAAGTTATAATAATTATTATGCTGGTATCGCCATATAGTCGGCTCTACCGGGAAAGGACCTCTTTCGCACAGAATACTAGCATGAAATGACAGCGTTATTTTGCTTTTTGTGTGGTGTGTGATGTGAACTGGACAACGAATCTGCATTTTGAATCTCAATCGTGAATATATGTAATGGATGTATGATGTATGTTAGTAGTGTGTTCAATTAACATTCTCTCTTGTAAAAAATGTACATAATGGTCGGCACTAGGAGAAAATTAGTTCTTGCGACCTCTACGCCCCAAATTATACAGTATAATTTTGGTGGAGAAATAAATTAGGTATATATTTTTATTTCATTTCATTTCAATGTAGTATCATTTGGTAAAATGAAAGACAGGATTAATATAATAATATTTCTATTTATTATCTTTATTTAACAATATTTCACAAAATGAATGAGCTTTTGTTGTTTTCATTAATTGTCCCCTGACTAGATAATTTTTCTAAGTAGAAGAACTGCTGCATAAACTGATTATTGGTCAGTGTGGAATAGTGAATATAAAAAATTTACGAAGAACTTAAGAATTGTTGATTGTAATATATATATTATACAAAATTTCTTGGAATATGACAAATAAAGACAATAGATCTGGATGCAACTTTTAAATATAATATTTTAAACTTCTAACAAGAACTTAAGACCTTGATTACCATTAAAGGAAAAACTTAAAGTTGTGATCCAAAATACAATTGTCTCTCAACCATTATTATGTAACTATAAATATGTATTAACACATTACTGAACAAAGTTATTATTTGGCATATCCATTTTAGAAAACTGTAATGTATTATCAATAATTTGGAATAACTCAGGTGGCTGTGGAATTCTTCCAGTTTCTAATTTTGACCAAAGAGGAATATTATTGAGAGATATTTCAAATGCACCAGAAGACACTAGTTGTCCTTCGATCATGTTGGCCAAAAAGAACATCATCATGCATGCATATAATTTGTTTTCCAGACACCAACTCCACCAACTAGGTTGTGGTTTGTTCAACCAAGCAAAGATATTTACACCACTAAGAATGCACATGATCAATATCATCTTGCCAAAACCCTGTAATAAAAAATAAATTTATTTGTAATAAATAATATTTCCTCCAACAAAATAATATGATAAATTCAAAAATACTAGTAATGTCTGTCAGTGTTATTTTCAAAATTTAATAAATTTTAGAGACCTAAACATTTCCCTACTGCTTTCACCCATGAACACAGTCCACCTGATGGTAGGTGGATGCCGTGCAGTGGCTCATAGACATATACATTAATTTCAAATAAGAATCAAAATGCAGATGCAATGTCACCCCTGAGGATAAGATGGAATGCCTCGTTTCCAGTAAAAAGGGTCTCCGGTTCTCTACACTCACCATAAGAAACACAGTAGCATTAAGCTGCTATTTTACAATGGTACTCCGTGAGGGTGTAGTTCCTACCCCGGTCGAGCTGACCCATTTGTGCTACAACTACAATATAGTTGCAACTTGGCTCTATTACATAAAAAGTAAGTTTAAAAAGAGGGAACCAATACTTTGTATGCATGTTTAAGTGTAAGGAGGCATCTAAAATAAATGGACAAAAAATCTAATAGAAAAGGAAAAAGGTGGAGATATGTATTGGATGAAGTAATGAAAGCAATACTAGTTACAAACATTTTGTTGATCTTGTTGTGTAAGTCTCAAAAAGATCAATAAAATAGATTTAGCTGTTATTATTAGAAAATAAATAATTTTTATTTAAATGTTTAGTAGGCTGGCTACTCATGATTATTTGTTAATTACTTTTATCAACCTTTAATAATAAATGAAATCTTACAAAAAACAAAAATTAAAAGCATGAAAACAATACAGCAGCTAGGTATGAAAGAGTGGCATTAGAAATGCTGAAGGCTGGAGAGGGAATGGTGACAACTTGCTGTACTGTATCGCGGATATAAGCATTCCATATTAATGACTTTTTACGTTTTGCCGTGATTAAAAAACCAAAAAAAGCATGTATTAATTTTTTTCAACAATTTCATAACTTATTTTAATCGCCAATATATTTTTATAACACCAATGTATTTTTTTAGGAATGACTGAATTATTATTATTTACGTCTCATATCTTATGTTTCCTTAAAAATATACTTCCTTGAGAAAAATAAATTTCACTTTTTACACTACACATTTATGTAATTGGAAAAGCTTACTACATACTACAGGTACCGTGCGTTTGCACTAAAACCATCCAACTTATAATGTTTCGAAACTTGTCGTATAAAATAAATCACACAACATGTTTTGTTGACTGCAAATTAATTTTTTAAAACTAAAGTAAGCTAAGGTGTTGATTGAAAGTGTTATTAAAGAAACTGATGGAAAATTTTGATATGTGCAAGCTGGAAAAGAAAGAAGAATATGGATATAAATACTGACCTGAATAAAAGACCTGTGATTTGCGTATGATTAGAGAGAAGTTTTTCTTATATTCGATAATTAAATTTATTTAAAATTAATTATAAATTAACGAATAGGAATAGTCGCAGAGCAACTATGGATTCTACTGGAGCATTTAAGGAGCAATTAATTGGCACACAGTTTAATTTAAAAAAGTGGATATTTTATGTTTTATAGCAAAATTAAAATTTCGATAATCAAATTTTTACAAATTAATCATAAATTAACTAATAGCAATAGACGTGGAGCAATTACGGATTCTAAGGGAGCATTTAAGCAGCAATTAATTGACATACAGTTTAATTAAAAAAAGTAGATATTTTATGTTTTATAGCAAAATTAAAATTTTGAGTTAAATTTTTTTAAATATTTATCATAAATTAATTAATAGCAAAAGACGTAGAGCTATTACGGATGCTAAGCGAGCATTTAAGGAGCAATTAATTGGCATACAGTTTAATTAAAAAAAGGAATGTTCCACGCTAACTTCCTTCTCGTTGTTGTGATCAGGATAAAAGGAAAAAGGAATTAGAATTTTGGAAATTGACGATATATTGAAGATAGGACAAGTTAAGAGTACCCTTAACTGACAAAACAAATGTAAGTCTGCAGATTCTGCCCACCTATAGCATAGATCACTTTTTTAAAATACTACTGTAGACAATATTTCACGTCATCAAATCTAGTGCCAAGATTTGGATGTGGTATTAGAACATACACATATAGAACTGGTGCCCCATCAGTAGATTATCTGTAATCTTTGTCAGTGAAATATTTTCAAACAGAATATGAATTATAATGGTTATGATAATATCTTCATTTTATTGATAATTGAATTATACAACTGATAAAAAAATCTTAATTTATTTTTTAAGATGTAACTGTAACTTTCATTTTCTGGCATTTTTTTTTCAATTTTGTTTTACAATTAAACTTTAAACAATACTTACAATCAGTCTTGACAAGTACATGTTTATTCCTGGTGGGTCATAATTTGCTCCAATAACTGATATCTCGGGATATTTTTGGTGTATAATGCCCGCATAATCTTCAAATACTTTTCTATAGCCGCAGGAGTAACTAGAAACCAAAATTATAGAATATTATCTTTCAGTTGGTTTACAACTACATATTTTCAAGTTTTAAAATACTGTATTACTATAAAAAAAACCATAGAACAGAAACAATTTCATTCATGGAAAATAAGGTTATGCTTAACCTTTTTGCTGTCCTTTATACTACATATAGGTTATTGCTATTTGTAGTGAGACTATTGTGGCTGAAAACCAGACAGTGAAAGAGTTAAACACAATTTTTTTTTAGAGATTATATACGGAGAGATACAATAGAGGAAATTCACAAATGCAGTAAGAGAAGTAAAGCATTGCATCTTTGACAATGCTCTTACTGCACATGCACTAAAGTAGTACATCTACCATTTACAAGATGGTATACCACCATTTTACTGAGGTCACAACACAAGATCTTTCCCATAGTTCTTCATGTTCACATTTATGAGAACAGGAGGATAAATAAATACTTTGGACTTTGGTTCTGAATGTATAATAGGTCTTCTATCTCTGTACTTATAACACTAATTTGGGATGGTACCAAAGTTTTCAAATAAATTGTACTAGGTTAATTATATAGTAAGGTTTCCTCTAAATCAAGCAAATAATACAATTTCCAAAAGAATTATAACAAAATCTTTGCCTTTTCTTTGGGCTCATGGCTGCCTGATGTTATGTAAGTATCTAAAGGTTTTCACAGACAAAATGAAATCACTAAATACAAAGATGGCTAGTTAATTATGATTAAGATATTGAACTTAGAATGAAAAATGTAGCTGATCCCTTAAGTCAAACATGTGCCTCAGTTATAGAAAAAAAAACTGCTGCCTTCTCTACACACTGTGCTATATATAACTTGAATATCACATTGCGTAAGTTTCAAGAAATTTCCATACAATATTAAAAGATTTGCTTCTAATGGACTTGTGTCGAGACGTAGATATAGCTCAGAATAAATAATATGTCGCTAACACCGCAAAGGGGTGAACCTCAATTTTTCAAAAAATTACAGGAGCAAGAAAACATTTATTATTTCCCGATTACTAGTTTTTTTTTTTTCATTTTGATCCTTTGATGTTGACTGCTTGCCGAAGTTTTAATAGCCTACATAATTATTATTAATCAGATAAATCGTGCACGCAAGCTAAATAAAACTTCATCACTGCGTGCGATATCCTGTGAGCTGTACTTTTGGGCAATTTAGTTCTTAGTTCTATTGCACGCACTGAAGTACTCGGGTCTTCTTCGACAGCTATCTATATATCTATCTAGCACAACGTCCTCGTAAGGGAGGGAAGGTCTCCCCTCACCATGTGCTTGGTTTGGGAGTCGACCCTCTGAGAAGATTAAACGGTGCACATTTAAAAAGACTCGATGATCCGGATGACGAGCAGCATTTGGGTACCTCACGATAAAGTCTAACTGCAGCACTAGCGTTGCATATGCATTCCCCATAAATGAGGTGCATGTTTTTTTTTATATTATTCTAAGCCAGCGCTTAACTACAATCGCACCCGACGGTAAGTGGTGATGTAGCCTAAAATGGTGAAGCGCACTGACTTAGCAAAAGCCTATTCACTCTTGCCTTGAAGACACCCACATTATACTCGGATGGAAACACAGATGCCGGCAACTTATTCCACTCCTTTGCTGTACGTATGATGAACAATGTAGCAAACCGTTTGGTTCGAATGCGTGGTAAGTCAACAAAGAAGGGATGGAGACTGACCGAACGTCTGGTTGTTCGATGATGGAAGAGAGAGGGAGGAATTAAATTATGCAATTGCGTACACTCTCGGAAATGCACCCTGTAGAAAACCTGAAACTTTGCGCCTGTGTTCGAGACTGGTAAGATTGGTTTTAATTGGGGGATGAAGCTGCTCGCGTCCGTAGGAATTACTTGAATCCTGATTCCCTACACGTATCCCCTGGGTAGTGCTAAACGAGCAGTACTACATACTGGTGGTGGGTTGGTCCTCTACTAGTGATAGGCCCGGCCGAGGGTTAGTTACCACCCACCTGGCAAAGACATACCGCCAAATGATGCAAATCGTGTTCCGGTATGATGTTATATGAAACCCATTTTTAGGGAGAATGGGTCTGGACAGTTGCGTTGCGCATACGAACCGGTTGCGACGCGGCCGTTTCTTAGTGTCGGGTGCCTGGTTATGGAGGTTAGCGGGATCCGAAGCACGGTTGCACCGCTGGCCGATCGTAGATAGTTGGGAGCCCAATTAATGAGCCAGCCAATCATGAAAGCCTGCCCCGCCATCTTACGAAAAATCCTGGAATGGCTCCACCATGCCGTTGGTGACCGGAGGAGGGCCTGGTGGCGATCTCCATGCTAGGTACCATCGATGCTGTGACTCTGTTTGCGTCCCTAGGTTATATGTGTGACACCTCGTTCAACTGCCATTCTCTCAATATATTCACTCCCACCATTAATGAAAAAAAAAACGGACATACAAGAGTAAGTTTGTACAGCGGTTGCACTCCCTGGCCATCAAAGTGCACCTCACAAACATCCGAGGCCTGTACTGTAATCTCAATGCAGTCCCATTACCACCTTGAGACTGACAAGCCGCACTTACTCTTCTTGACTGAGACGCAGATCAGATGTCCTCTAGATGCGGCGTACCTTGGCTACCCTGGGTACACATTGGAGCATAATTTCCATCAGCGCGCCGGAGTCTGTGTTTACGTCCACAACGACATCTGCAGGAAGCGTCTCCGTCACCTTGAAGACCACACTTTCTCTACGATCTGGGTATTGATAGACACAGGAATGGATAAAATAATTTATTCTTGTCTACCGATCGCACAGCGGTGACCAGGAGACAACTAGGCTGTTTGAACACCTCAGTGAAGCCTCTGATGTGGCTCTAAATCGGTACCCTAATGCATAGTTGGTTTTTCTAGGGGACTTTAATGCCTGTCATCAGGACTGGCTGTTCCCATACCAGAAGACCGACCACGCTGGGAGAGATGCGTGGAATTTTGCCTTGTCGATGGGGCTCTCCCAGCTGGTACAACAAGCGACTAGGGTACCTGATGTGGATGGGCACACAGCCAACTGCCTGGACCTTCTGCTGACGAGCGATCCAGACAGGTACGATGTTCAGGTTACCTCACCCTTGGGAACTTCTGACCACTGTCGGTGAAATCTGGGTCGTTATATACCCCAACTAACTACAATTTCCAAGGAGTGCGACGAATGTGGCAATACAAGTCAGCAGATAGGGATGAGATGCGGCATTTCTTTGCATCTTATCCTTGGCGACAGGTCTGCTTCTCCTCTAAAGACCCGTCGAGCTGCGCGGATGCCACAACGTCATGTGTGATACGTCAAGCGATGGAGTATTTCATTCCCTTTGCTGACGTGCCCATTGGTGGTAAAGTTCGCCCATGGTTTAACGCTGAGTGCGCTGGTGCTGAAAACCACAAGCATATGGCGTACTTATCCTGGGTCGATGCTTGAGACCGTAAAGCTCCGGATGTTAGCCTTAAGAAGAGTCTTTAACCAAGCCGTCAAGTCCTGCAAAAAGGCATTACGCCAAGCCAGTTTCGACCGCATTAAACGAATCGGCACAAAGCTCTCTGTAAAACCATCTGGTAGTAGAGCTTTTTGGTCTCTCGCCAAAGCGGTCGAGACAAACTTCTGTCGGTCCACACTGCCTCCGCTGGTAAAACCAGACGACTCCCTGGCGCATGTACCTAAGGAGAAAGCGGACTTATTTGCTTCGCTTTTTGCTTGCAATTCACGTCTGGACAGTAGCAACAGCGTACCATCTCAATTACCTCACTGCGGTACCTCTATGTCAGAGGTCCGTATCACCAACAAGGAGGTTCTTAAAACCTTGCGAAGTCTAGACGTGAACAAAGCTAGTGGACCTGTGGTATACCAGCTAGAGTTCTAAAAGTCTGTGCACCTGAGTTGTCTCCTATGTTAACAGGCTTGTTCCGCCTCTCATTCAGGACTGGAATAGTGCCTAAATCTTGAAATCTGGCCAATGTGCAGCCTGTGCCTAAAAAAGGCAGCAGTACCGACCCTGACAACTATTGGCCAATTTCAATTACCTCCATACTCTGCAAGATTATGGAGCGTATAGCCTCTTAGCACGTTCTTTCCATTGAGTCCAAAGCTGCTAGGTGGCATTTTGCAGCACCAGCCTATATATGGCAGCAATAATCTTAAAATAAAAAAATAAAATATTAACATTAAATGCATTACACCTATTCAAGAATATTATTTAAGTAAAATAGCTGAGCGCGGTCTAACGTGTGCGATAACAGATTACACCAGAATAGAAAAAAGAAAAGACAAAATAACTAAAAGTTGTATAGATCACATCTTTGTGCGATCGCGTACGTTAGACTTATACTCTGGCGCTATTGGTACTGTATTAGCAGATCATCGCATGACTGTGCTTGCATGCGTCGCACCTGTTTCGTTCCCACGGGATGAATTCGAAAATATTATTTTATATGATAATAAAAAGCTTCATACAATGCTAAACGAAATAGACTGGTCACCGGTTAATTATATGCAATGCCCTATTAGTATAAACAACTTTATCAAAAATAAATTTATGGAGTGCTACAGTAAATGTCAATCAATTAAAAAAATAAAACAAAGTAGCAAACGAAATAAAGATAATTGGTTAAATAAAGACATCATAAATATGTGTAAAATAAGAGATACTTTGTTTAATAAATGGAAAAATGACTCAAGTAATAAACTTTTAAGGATAGAATATAATAAATATAGAAATAAAACAATTAAATTTATTGAGAGAACTAGAAACAATTACTATTATCAAAAAATCAATAATAACATGTCTAACCCAAGATATACGTGGAAAATTGTAAACAGACTTTGTGGTAAGGTTACCGAAACACTAGATGAATCATTAAATAAAGCATTTAACTTCAAAAGTCAAAATAGTAAAACAATAGCCGATAATTTTGCCACTGAATTCAATAGAAACATAAAAAATATAATACCAAACT